AAGCTTTGGCAGAAAGCCCAAGTCAGCACGACGGACAGCTCCAAGGCTATGCAAAGAGGCTGTGGACAGGTTCTCTGAGGTCTGAGACTGACTTCATGCTCCCATAACTCGGAGGCACCTGTGCCCCAGAGCAACAATTTGTTGAGTGTCTAAATAATTGGATTCACTTCATGTGTTTTCATTCGCCATAGACTCTTTCCTGTCTTGACCCGTATGCATTGAGTTTAGGTTCAGTCATGAGTAAGAGAAGCCCAAAATAAGATCTGCCTGTCACAAGCAAAGGCCAGAAGTAGGCAGGCAGCTCACTGCTGTTGTACAGATCTGATCTGTGACGTCCAGACCCGGGATCCTTATGACTCACTGCTCTGCTTAGAGTCATGGTCTAAAGTAAGTGACCAGTGCTCCTGTCACCACACCTACATTCTTTCACTTGCTCCCTGCTCTGAAAAAGGCAAATTTTCTAGTGCCTACTATGTTCTGGAAAGAGACTAACAGGTGCTACTTATGTGGGATTAAAAGTGAGCATTTGGACTGGGTGTAGTTGGTAGCAGTGTTGGAAGCCACATGGCAACTGTAGGTTAGAATCCCTGGATGGATCTGAAAACCCACTGGGTATTTATGTATGTACACGAGGTTGTGAAGAGCTGGAGGGCTAGGGAGTGGGGATCCCAGAGCGACAAGATCTCATAGATGGTGCTTTTCTCTCTCATCATCTTTTGTCATCAAATCTCCTTCTCAGATCCTGAATCTCCTGCTTCCCTCTTATAAGGACCATTGGAGTTATATTGGGTCTGACCAAATAGTTAATGCTAATTTCTCCAACTCAAGATTCTTAATTTATCACATCATCAAAGTCCCCTTTGCCATGTGAATAACATAATCACAGGTTTTGGGAATTAGGCCTTGGACATCCTTGGGGGGAACAGGAGTATTTATTCATTCAACCAATATTTATTATGTACCTACAATGTGCCAGGCACAATGTTGGCTGGATGCAGTAGGTGGCTGGATAGAGTAGAGTCCAGCAAACAAGGTTGTGTGAATGAGTTAACAAAATGAATGCCGTATCTGTTCCTTTCCACTCTTCCACTGCTTTAAAAATGACTTAATTTAATTTATTATTATTTTTAATTTACTGTAAGATCATGTGTGCTCACCAGGGAGAGAGGGAGGGAGAAAGGGAGGGAGAAGGAGAAAATGAGAAAGTCAACTGTCAGGTCTGGGACTCAAACCATGGCCAGCTATGTGAAAGTCCAGCACATTAACCACCATGCCACCTATTGGTCCCTCCACTGCATTTTAAAGTTATTCATTACTAGCTTACCTGCAGTAGTCATTCAGATCCTGTCACTGACTTCGGTAATAGAAAGGCTAACACTCTCGAATCTTTAGCCTCAAGACTTCTCCACAGATGCTTCCCTTCTTTTCTTTTCTCTTCTTCTTTTTTTTTTTTGAGAGATTTTTTCCTATAGAGCATGTGTACTCACCAGAGATTCAGAGACAGAGACAGAAAACAAGAGATCACCCCCCAGGGGGATGGAAAAACTGCAATCCCTTCTCCTCCATTCTCCTCTCAAGATTTTGGGCACACACGCACATGTGCCTGGTGTGAGTTTTAATCCACCGGGTCCAGGACTTGAACTGTGGTCACTACGTGGGAGTCCGGTGGTGTAATCATTATGCCATCTGCTGGTCCCATGCCATTCTTTTCTTTTACCTACTTTACTCACTCCTCTCCTAAGGAAGGAGGACTGATTTTTTGGGGGGTTGGATAAAGTACATGGGTTTAAAGCTGTGAGTAGTCTCAAAGAAAATGTAAACAGGTGAGGCTTAGACAAGCAAAGAAAAAACTTTATTCAAAACTATTGCCATAGGGTCAAGACTATTGCAATAGAGGAGAGAGAGAAAAAATTCACCCTGATTATGAGAAGGGCAGCTGGGGATTTCTAGCAACAAGGAGGCAGAGGGAATCAATGGATGGATAATTACTGAGAGGAACTTGGATACAGATCAGAGGTTAGGGAGATTATCCCTAAACTGGCTCGGCATATTCTTGCTAAAACTGGAGTTGCTAGATCAAGGACAATGCTCAGTCGAGAAGAGGGCACAGAAGAGCCTAAGTGGAGTTTGGTCAAGGAGTCTTTGTCCTTTTACTATTTTATCTGTGTCCTAGGAACTGGCTTACTAGTGTCTGCACATTCCTTATTCCTCCCTGCGGGGACTACCTGGCCCTGTGTGTGGGTGTCTGGGATGGGGGTTGGTGAAAAGCCTACAGGTGTTGGAGGATACTTTCAGCTCAGGGGATCAATATTAGAAAATATGGTCAAGATTTCTCTCCAGTGGAACTTAAGTCAGTAACAGAGACATTTGGGTCACTACCCAGTGGCTGTTCCTACTTTTCATTCCCACCAGCCATGTATGGGAATTCCCCTTGCTCTGCATCCCTGTGAGCACTTGTTAATGTGAGGACTTTTTATTTTAGCCATTCCTTCTGCAGTGAAGCAGTCATAGAAAAGAGAGAAAAATAAAACAGGCATCCTCCCAATACTATTTGGACTACAGAGGTCACTGGAGATGAGGGCACAGGGGTTACAAGTTTATAGAGAAACACACAATAACATTTTTACTAGTTCTTATCATCAGAAAGAAGGATTTTCTTACACTTTTAAGTGGCTTTATGGTCACCACTCCTGCCCCAATTTTAGTTCAGCTTCATGACTGGACTTGCGTCAGGTCTGGGCCAGAAGAATTAAAAACAGAAGGAAGGGAACTCATTCTCCATTCTCTCACATTGTTTTTCTTGTAAGACCACCCCTTTGGGCAGAGACAGAGGGAGGGTTATCCTTGGGTAACGCCCATTGTACAGTTCTGAAAATTGGTTGCTCTGGAGTACAAGCCAGGATATGTGGGAGGAATAATTGCAGAAACTTACTGCTGTATTAGCTTTTCTTCAGGCTTTGATTTCCTTCCTCAATTTGCCTGCTATAGTCTATTTTTCAGGGACTTCTTAGATGTACATTATGTCTACCCAGGATTTTAGTTATAATCTGAAAGAAATAGGGCACAGTGTGCTTACTCTATCTTAGCAAGAACCAGAAGCTGGAAGGGTTATTTCTCTTTCGGTAACCCTGAAAAATGGAAATGCCAACCTCCATGGTTTGGAGATGAGGTAAACTAGTAAGTTAAAAACCTAATCCCTAACATGTGGGCAGGAGTTGGGACAAGAGGCCTATTAAGTTGATGGGCATTCTTTAGAATCCATGAAAGGGTGCAGGGTGTGGTGAACGGGTAGTAACTTTCAGCAAAGCACTAGAGCCTGTGGAGCAGAGCTCATGGGAACGTCTGTCTCTCTGACTTATAACTCCCAATTATCTTCCAGTATCTGAAAAACTTCAGCACTGCAGTGGATATTAGAGTATGGACAAAAGGTGTTGGAATTGAGATAATGCATTTAATTTAATATAAAATGGAATAAAAAGATAAAGACAAAATTTTGTAATTGTGTTTTATGTATTCTGGAATTGCAAGTGGAAAGATAACAGGCAAAATATGGACAGACTTATATAAAACCTAAAATGGTGGTGTTAGGGAAAATGAGAAATATGAGATTAAGAGTATCTTACTGAAAACGATGTGGTGCACATACGTGTGCATGCCTGAAATCCTGACAGGGTGGAGAAATGGAGAAGGGATTGTGGTATGACCATACCACATTGCTGTTTCTCTCTCTCCAGTGAGTGCATGCACCCTCTGGCAATGGCCAACTGCAGAATTCATGTCCTGTATCCAGTGACTGCAAAACATTCCAGGCACTTGTGTATGTATGCCCAAAATCCTGACAGGAGGAAGAAATGGAGGAGAAGGAATCATGACCATTCCTCATTGAGGGTGCTTTCTCACCTTCTACAGTTAGCTCTCTATTTCTCTCTCTGGTGAATGACATGCCCTCAAATAAAGAAAAAAAATTGTTTTCAAAAATCCCCTTAATGCAACTCTATCATCTTTTCAAATATAGTAACACGTAAGAACAATCCCTGGCCTATTGCTTGATAGTTGCGTTGTCCCTATTCTTTTTTTTGGATAGATTTTCACTGTAGGGCGCATGCACTCGCCAGACAGAGAGAGACATAGAGACAGAAAGCGAGAAATCACCCCCCAGGGGGGATGGTCACGCCGCAATCCCTTCTCCTCCATTCTCCTCTCGGGATCTTGGGCACGCATGCACAAGCGCCCGGCGTGAGTTTTAAGCCACCGGGTCCGGGACGCGAACCACGGTCAACTACGTGGGAGTCCAGCGACATAGCCATTACGCTAATGGCTGGTTCCCCCTGTTCTATTTGTCACTTATTTGAAAAGGTTTTCATGACTCTTACCTCTCACCCCAACTGTTCCTGTTGCATCTTTCTATATCAATATATAACCCCTGTGCCACATGCTCTCCAGTACTGGTGACCCTTTCCTGTCAATGCTTTGATTTTCTATCTTCTCCGGGAGACACAAGCTTGTACAGGCAAGGGTAGTGTATTTTCTTGCTTACTGCTAGAGCTTCAGTGCCCAGGTAGTGAATAGTCCTAACAATTACTTGTTGATGAAGCACAAAGGAATGAGAACACTCGAAAGCAAGATGTCAATTTTATACTTTACTTGGCTTTTTGGTCTCAGACACTGTTTGATACTTGCCTATCTTTTTTTTCTCCATACTGACAAACATCGTCCAAAACAGTCACACCAAAGTTGGATAGCGTGGTGCATTGACATGTCAGTCAACCAAAGGCGAAGTCCAGTGATGAATGGGGTTCTGGGCAAACACGCACACATGCCCAGCAGGAAAGGAAGTTTGGAATGCAGGTTTTGGTGATGACTGGATTTACTTGACAATGAGCTGAGAAGACCGAAGGGGCTAGGGCTAAAAGGATTTCAGTGGTGTTTCCAGGGACAGGGCCTTTCCTCTGTGACCCCACTACGTCTTTTATGACATACTAAATTCAAACACACTGGTGCTAGTTCAAATGCACTTTCATTTACTTATGGGACTTCGTTTTGTTTTGGAGGCAGGCATAAGAAATCAGTCAAAGCACAGCCATGCATTACAATGGCAGGCTGCAAGTTGCTCCAACCAGAACAACTGTAGCATGTGAAAGTTGGAAGAGCCATGAAAGATACCTAGTCCAAACCCCTTCGTCAATAATTGACACATAATTCCCTTAATAATATTTGAGGTAAGTAAACATCCAGCTTTCGCCTGAGTACTTTGAGTAATGGCGAACTCACTATCTTTTAAGGCAGCTCATTACATTTTCAGATAAACATCTCCTAGACTTGGCAAGCATGAAGTACATGTGCTATGTCTCATTCCTGTTCCCAAGACAGGCATGACCAATCATTACAATGCTCTTTCCTACCAAGCCTAGGTTATCCCTGAGAATTAGCCTCAATTTTGTTTTTTAGTTGAGAGCCTATCTCATTTCATCCTTACAACAACCCTATACATACCACTCCATCTCAAAGTTCAACTCGCAATCCTGCCCTAGATACAGGAAAGTTATTTGTTATATCTGCTTTTCTAGGTCTTCTACATATTGATTTTTTTTAAAGCCTTCTGTGAGCAATGAATGTAATAGTCTGAGGCAAAGATAGCTTCAGACCCGGAAGTCTTGAACCCCATGGAACACAACCTGGGAAAGGCAGAACCTTCAGGGCGGTAGGCTGGTATTAGGCTCTTTTAAGCCTGTGATCCACAAGGCAGAGTCAATATTAGTAACAGATATTTATTAGGAGGTAAGAAGAGTCTTACCACTAAAATACGAAAGTCACATTCAGGACCAAAGCTGAGGGTCACTGATGCTTCAGGATCCAGGTGTAGGGCAGGTGAAAGATAATTATAATAAACCTGAGACTACAGCCTCAGGGTGCGATTTCCAGCCCACCAAGTCCTCAGTCAGACCCCATAGTTTTTCTTTGAGAAGCACTTCAATACTGTTTTCCCCAATTTCATCATGAGGGAGGTGGGCTTTTGGTCTATGTAGAAGAATGTTGGCTCCTACTTAAACATAGGGTGATTCTTTTCAACATCTAGAAGACTTTGGGAGATTTGGCTGTGAATGAGGCCAAAAGGGTTGTGATGTTAAATTATTGATAGCTTTTTCTTTTTCTTTCTTTCTTCTTTCTTTTTCTTTCTTTCTTTCTTTTTTTTTTTACCTAATAATGTTAAACTTACATGGTTTCAATCAGTTTAAGCCTCTGAAAATGGGGAGATGTTTGGCTTTCTGAAATGGTGACATCATCCATTTAGACAATCCTATTTTTGATGTAATTATCCAACATGGAGGAGGAACCTTGTTCAGGCCTCCCGTTCATCGTGTCATCGGTTACAGCTGAGCCAGTTTTCTCCTCTGGTGGGTGTGCCTTGTTCTTTTTGGCAAATGCCTGGCTGATTTCTGCATAGGTTCTGTTTTTGGTCTCAGGCAGGACGAAATACAAGTAGATGGCCCCTGCGGTACATACTGCAGCGAAGACGAGGAAACAGTAGGTGTCCAGACTTTTCTGTGGAGAGGCAGAGGTAAACAGCAAAAAATCAGACAATTCGAAAATGGCCTGTGAAACCATCTCTGCACAGTTTTATTTCAAAAACTAGTTCCCCATTCCTACGTCAGTGTTATTGGATAAAACACCACACGCATGTGGCTGGCTCTACAAGACGCTGTGGGCTCTAGACATGATTTATTTTCACAGGAAGTATGACAAAATCAGCTTCCCACTTCAGTAAAGATGAGGAAATGGCAGTATTCATGTTTTCACAAATCAGGCGTTTACAAATTAATGTCACGAGGAAGGATGGCCATGCCGCAATCCCTTCTCCTCCAGGCTCCTCACGGGATCTTGGGCATGCACACACACGCGCCCGGCATGAGTTTAAGCCACCGGGTCGGTGACGCGAACCGCAGTCGATTACATGGGAGCCCAGTGACATAGCCATTACGCTAACTGCTGGTCCCTCCACTGAGACTTTCTAAGTCACTCTGAGTAAAATCAAAGTCCTTACCATGGATTCTTTTTTTTTTTTTGAGAGGTTTTCGCTATAGGGCATGCGCGTTCACCAGACAGACAGAGAGAGACAGAGAGACAGAAAGCGAGAAATCACCCCCCACGGGGGATGGCCACGCCGCAATCCCTTCTCCTCTGTTCTCCTCTTGGGATCTTGGGCACGCACACACACGCGCCCGGCATGAGTTTAAGCCACCGGGTCTGGGACTCGACCCGCGGTTGACTATGTGGGAGTCCAGCGACATAGCCATTACACTAACTGCTGGTCCCCCTTACCATGGCTTCTGTGGCCACCGACCATGTGGCCACCTTTCTTCTCGGACCTTACTTTCCTTCTCTCTTTGTTACCTCCAGCTATACTGCCTTCCCGATTTTCCTCAAATGCCATGCCTTGGGGTCATTGCCTGTACTGTTCCTTCTTTCTGAATAATCTTTCAGACATCTGCACATCTTGCATTTTCAACCCCCCTTCACCTCAGCTTAATAGTTACTTTCTCTGAGAGGTTTTCTCTGACCTCCATTTTAGAGGACCCCTCCAAGCTCTGCTTCATTTCTCTTCAAAACACTCACCACTGTGCGCTCACCTGATTATGCAGCATTACAGCCTATAGTGATCTATTTATAAACTCCTTCCTCCACCAAGAGGGATGCTACCTGAGAGAAGTTGTTATTTTTGTTGTTTTCTCAGAACCCAGATAGTATCTGATACATAGTAGGTGCTCAATAAATGTCTATCGCATGTGTGCGTGGACTGAGGTTCTGAGACACTCCCTACCCTGTTCCAGGCCACATGTGAAATTTTATGTGGCTTCTCTGCTTGGCTTCCTTTCCCAAGAGGCCTGATAAGAATCGCTAGGGTTGTTCTTACAGGTACATAGAATTTAGTCAAGAATTCATGGCTACTACAGCCATACTGGGAAAGGGTACTAGCCCTCCCCTCCAGGAATCTCAAGGGAAAAGCTATAAGAAACCAGCATGTGAAGCTCCACCTCTTGGGCACAAAATCCACCCCTTTTGTCCGCAGATCCTACTGAATCCCTGCTACAGTCTGAATGTGTCTTCCAAAATTCATCTGTTAGAACTTGGGCCTAATGTGATTTTTTTTCTAAATAATTATTTTATTTAACTTTATTTATTTATTTATTTTTAAATTTGACCAGAGAAGGCAGAATGAAAAAGAAAGAGAAAGTGAGAAAGCAAGCCAGCAGGCCCAGGACTTGAACCACAGTCGGCCATGTGGGAGTCCTGCACCCATAATATTAAGGGTTTGCACTACTTAATACTTAGGAAGTGATTAAGTCATGAATGAGATTAAGGAGCTTACAACAGGGCTGGAGGGAACGAGGTAGGTCCTTTTTGCCATTTTGCCATGTGAGTGAGGATACAGCAAAAAGTGCTACTGCAGAGGCAGAGAGCAGCCTTTGCCAGATTCTATACTCTGCCAGTGCCTTGGTGTTAGTCTCACCTTCCTGAACTGCGAGAAAATGTATTCCTGTTCCTCACAAGTTGCCCAGCCTGTGGTATTTTGATATAGCAGAATGAATGGGCTATAACAGTCCTCCTCCCTCAAGGTAAC